AGAGCGGCGGGCAGGCGCCCCTACACCGCCTGGCTCTTCTGGGCCGGGGTGTCGGCCGTGGAGAGCGTGATGGACTTGGAGTCCCTGCCCGTGGACTCCTCGGCGAGCACGTTCCGCAGCCGGGCGGGCAGGGCCCGGAGGAAGCGCGAGTGGAAGCCCTGCGCGGCCGCCACGTAGATGATGGGGTTGATGCAGCTGTTGATGTAGGCGATGGCCACGCACAGCGCGTCGAAGCGGGACGCGGTTTTGAAGATGCTCTGGTCCTTGTGGAAAAAGGCCAGCAGCATCCCCGACACCTGGTAGGGCAGCCAGAAGATGAAGAAGCTGGTCACCACCGCCACCACCACCTTGAGGGTCTTGAGGGAGCGCGTGGCACTGCGGCTCCAGGCCCGGATCAGCAGGAAGCTGTAGCAGATGGCCAGCGTCACCAGCGGGCACAGGAAGCCCAGGAACAGCCGCAGGGTGGCCACCACCTTCTCCTTCTTTAAACTGTTGCTACCGTAGTTGACGCCGCACTCGGTCTTGGTGGGAAAGTACTGCGTGCTCACCTTCCGGAACAGGAACGAGGGGATGGTCAGCAGCAGGGCCAAGGTCCAGGCCACCGCGCAGGCCACCCAGGCCAGGGGGGCGTCCCTGTAGTTCTGGCACCAGACGGGGTGAAACACCAGCAGGAAGCGGTCGGCGCTGATGAAGGCCAGCAGCAAGATGCTGGCGTACATGTTGAGCAGGATGAGGGAGGGGAAGACGCGGCAGGCCGCGTCCCCAAAATACCAGTGGTTGTGCTGGAGAATGGTCACAAACAAGATGGGCAGGCCCAGGCAGGAGAGGAGGTCCGCCACGGCCAGGTTGAGAAACCAGATGGCATTGATGGTTCGTCTGACCTCGGACCCGGTCACCCAGACCACCAGGATGTTGCCGGGCACTCCCACCAGGAAGACAAGCCCGCAGATCAGCAGGGTGAGCACGTGCAGACCGTCCAGCTTGGAGGTGTAGGAAGAGTTATCCACGGACCTACTGGGGTCCCAGGTGTAGGAGGAGTAATAATCGTAGTCAAAAGTGCTGTTCTCCACGGAGTCCTGGGTGGAATCAGAGAGGCAGAGAGAAGTTGAGTCTGCAGGCAGGTACCGGGGGGCCATCAGAGCCACGTGGCTTTGAGCCCGTCACCCCGCTTCTCTGAACCTCACGCTTCTCCCAGGAAATGGGGGGACTGCTGGAGGCTGAGAGTTAGCAGGGGTGCCATACCACTTTTTAGTGACTTTTCTTTTGAGAGAGAGAGAGAGAGAAAGATAGAAACATAGATGATCGGCTGCCTCCTGCACGCCCCCTACTGGGGATCGAGCCAGAAACACGGGCGTGTGCCCTGACTGGGAATCGAACTGGTGACCTCTTGGTTCATGGGTCCACGCTCAACCACTGAGCACCGCCGACCAGCCTGTCGTACCACTAATTAAAATATGGAAAATTCTTCCGTGCCGATGGGACAGAATTCAGCAACCAGATGATTAAAGCCTAGGCTTGCTGTGACCTGTGGTCACCGTCCATTCTGATGGCTTAGCACCCATGATGCGCTGCTTGTTAGATGTATTTAATTTAATATCACCAACAAACTGAGGTGATACGGCTAGGGTTACCCCTCATCACCGCCATCACCCCCTTTTGCTGTATTTCACCCACTGGGGCAGCTCTGTGTTCTGTCTGGAAGTGGCTCCCTAGAGAAGGCAGTGGCTTGTCAAGGCCCCATGAACTCAGGCACAACGTTTAAGGGAGGGGGAGAGACAGGGCATGGAAAAATCGAGTCATCGAGACAAATAATACGGGAATGCAATATTTTAAAGAATCAAAAACCCTTATTCACAAAGATGTATGTACCCCTGTGTTCATTTACAATAGCCCAAGTGTCTTTCAAAGGACGACTGGAGAAAGAAGATGTGGTACTTATACGATGGAATACTACTCAGCCATCAAAAAGGCAAATATATTGCCATTTGCTGTGACATGCTTAGATCTTGAGAGTATCATGCTGAGTGAAATAAGTCAGATGGAAAAGGGAAAAGAACTGTATGATTTCACTCCTGTGTGGGACATAAAACAAAGCAACAGCACAGCACAGGGGACAGTCCAAAATACTGTGATAACCGTGCACGGTGCCAGGTGGGGACTAGACTTAACAGGGGCGTCACTTGGTAAATTATATAAATGTCTGATCACTATGCTGCACACCTGAAACTAATATAAAATAATACTGAATGTCAGCTGGAATTGAGAAAGATATAAAAACGAGACTGTAAAAGAAAACTAACCAAAACCAAACCCATAGCTGTAGGCAACGGAATGGTGGTTACCAGAGGGGAAGGAGGGCGGTGGTGGGGAACAAAGAGGGCGAAGGGGGTCAAGTGCAAGGTGGTGGGGAGACAAAACTTTGGTGGGGAGCACACAATGGAGTATGCAGCTGTGACGTTATAAAGTCGTGTCCCTGAACTTCACATGAGGTTATTAACCAATGTGACCCCAATAAATTTATTTATTTTTTTTTAAAAATTCGTGATGAAAAAGTTTTAAATAAAGACAGGATGTGCCCTGGCCAGGTAGCTCAGTTGATTAGAGCATCGTCCTGAGACACCAAGGTTGTGGGTTCAATTCCCAGTCAGGGCACATACAAGAAGCAAGCAATGATGCATTGCTTCTCGTGGGGAGCAACAAACTGATGTATGTCTGTCTGTCTCTCTCCCTCCCTCCCTTCCCCTCTCTCTCTAAAAATCAATTTAAATTTTTTTAAAAGGAGGGAGAAAGTCATTTCAGATAGAGATACATAGCAGGTGAAATAGAATGTCTTGGGTTTG